AGAGAGGGATTATATTTATTTATTTATTTTTAAATATATAAGAAAACATCATAAATGATCCATGTGGTAGTGAAATGACGAAAATACCCTTCAGTTAATGGACAAAACTTAACGGGATTAGCAATAAGGACCAATCGTCAAATTTTTTAAAAACACAGGGACCATCTATGATGTTTTTAAACCAAGAGGACTAATCTTGGGATCTGGGAAAACCACACGGACCATTTATGATGTTTTTTCTTTTTCAAAATTACGTTAGAAAAATAATAAAATTCATTTTTTCATCATAACTTTGGAAATGGAACAAAACTTAAAGCCTGGCTGGAAATAGCTACAAAATCTAAAAATAGACCAATAAAATTAAGTCAAATTATATAATTAGATCAACATTAGAATGGAGTTTATTAGACTGGAGTGTAGTTATAGAAAGCCAAGAAGTAAACTTTCTCCAACGCTTTAGAATTACCAAGTTGAATGTGTCAGTGTCATTTAAGGGGGTGTTTGGGATTGCTTTTGAACATCAAAAGTTCTTTTGGTAGGACTTTTGATATAAGAACTTTATACAAAAGATGATATTTAAAATGTGTTTGGATTTAATAAAATGACTTTGTTTAGCTTTTATATGTAAAGTCACAAAATGTGACTTTTTGAAACCGTTTTTTTTCTTTTTTATAAAAAGTCATTTCAAAATATCTTTTTTATTATCCAAACAACTTTTATTCTTTTTTAACTTAAAAAAAAAGTTAAAAAGTTCTCAATTTTTTGTTTAGGGGGTTGGATTTTCCGGCTCTTACGCCTCGTTCCCGAGTTTAACAAAAGAAAAGAAAAGAAGAGAAAAGAAAGTCACGAGAGAAAAGAAGAGAAAGGAAATGAAAACAAAATTTTCTTTCGTGTTCCCGGGTTGGAGAGAAGTCGAAAGAAAATGAATCATTTTGTTCTTTTCTTCCAAATCCTCCCAAATCGGAAGGAAAGTTAGTAGGGAAAGTTATCATCTCATTTCTCTCCACTTCCTTCCACTTTCCTCCTTTAATATAACTCGAGAACACCAATTTTTTTCATTTTCTTCTCATTTTCACATGTTCTTTCCTTTCTCTCCTTAAAACTGGGTGTTAAAAGAATTACCAAATGGAATTTGTCAATTTGGCCGGCGTTAGTCGTAGTTTATACTTGCACATTTCTTTAACTCTATCTGCTTACTTTATCGTGTTTCGTCGATCGCTCGAGTTCGTGTTCCATCGATCGATCATTTTGGTGAGATTTTCTTTCAACTGATATTGAAAGTCTCTGATCATCTAACTAACCCGCTATGAAAGTATGTTAATTGTTTAGATGTTCGCCAGCAGTAGTTTGTTGTTTGATGAGTAAATATCTATCGCTTTTTTCCCGATTTGATGCGTTTGCATTAAAAATTGGTGCATTGTTTTACGAATTTTATGTGTAGGTTTCTTTTCCAATTCGATCAAGTCGTTACAAATTTGATTTAGGTTCTGAAGGAAAGTTCAATTCTAGTGAAAATTGGAAATCTATCCTTCAAGACGACAATGATGTTAGGGTTCACCTTCACTTAATCTGCTAGTAGAACTGTTGAACCATGAAATATATTGCAAAATAACATGCAGATCAGGAGATTATTACCCTTCGTTTACTAATTCCATTGCTCCATTTCCCCCAAATCAATAAGATCTTTAGAGTACAGACAGTTCAGGGGGTCAATTGGACTATCAGAGACTCAATTGTTGAAATGTATCTCTATTTCTTCAATTAATCTTTCTGCCTTTCAGGGATGGCTGTGGTACTAATGGGTGTAAGCGGTGTGGGGAAATCGTGAGTTCAAACTTTCAATCTTTACAATGATCTTTTTCAACATTCTTTGTAAAAACTCTAAACTTTTCATTATTTATGTAGAACTATAGGAGAATTGTTTGCGAAAACTCTAAACTGTAGCTTCATTGATGCCGATGATTTTCATCCACAATCAAACAAAGGTACAAAAAAGCTCTAAAAATCTTCAATTCCATCATGTTCTTTTAGTACCAAATTCAATAACACTTTTACCAAAAACTAACGATTACCCAAATGGTGTCTTAAGAAAGAGAAGATGAAGAACAGGATCCCTTTATCAGATGAAGATCGTATCCCATGGCTTGAAGTGCTTCGGGATTTATTGAATGCAAGCTTGGTGAGTGGCAAGATTGTAATTCTTGGGTGTTCTTCCCTTCAGAAAAAATATAGGGACATTCTTAGATCTGCTGACCCGAATTTTAACGGTGATTCGTGTGAAAAATGTGTTGTGAAGTTTGTTTTGTTGGATGTTGGGGTGGAGGTGCTTATGAATCGAGTGGCGAAAAGAGTGGCAGAAGGGAACCATTTTATGCCTGCTGAATTGCTTCAGTCGCAAATTGATTTACTTGAGGTTGATGTGTCTGAAGGGATACATAAAGTTGATGCTTCAAGGATTCCTCAAGATATTGTTGATGAGATTAAAGCGTTGATATTCTGATTAAGAATATTGATGTTGGTTGTGGTTGTATTGCTTTAATTCTACAACACCGATTATTTACTCTAATACATGTATATTCCATTTATGTTTCACTAATCAAAAAGTAACTTTAAATAATAGGGAAAATATTGTATATTTGGAGGCAAAAACATAATACTGGATTATAGCATAAATCGATCTTAGGATTGTATCTTTATAGATTGAATGGAAAAAAGTAGACCAGTTTGGTGCTATGTTTCTTTTGCATAATATGAGCGACATTAGACCATTGTAATCCTATTTTTCATCTAAATACTTATTTACAAAATGCATGTTTTTTTTATTTATTTTAAACAAAAATATGTGATTGGTTTTATTCGCACACCTAAGAATTCAATTATAGCCTATAACCCTATACCATCCATGTTGACTTCTTTGACAAGAAAGATAAAGTTGCTGCTCTAATCAATTTTTCATTTTCCATCCTTTTTATTGTGAAATAATTATACCACATCCTTTAATATACTAATATTACGTATATGTCCCTTTTTGTACACGTTAATTAAAACCACTATCGAATATCATATAACTTCAAAACCAAATATTGGATTTTAAGTTTTATATATATATATATATATATATATATATATATATATATATATATATGGAAAAGTTCAATATTAATCAATGAACCAAGAACCAATCCAAAACGTCGAAATTTAAAACAATGAACGACAAAAAGAAGGGTTGTAGACTTTTACAATTGGCGCACGTGCACCGGATTATAACAAAACTCACTTCATTTTTTTCGTTTAAAATTTTTTTTAGGCCATGTTTTTTATCGAAAAAAACCGAGTATACCGTTGTTCACGATTTTTCGTCCTCTTTCCAAAGAGATCCATGATAATATATAAAAAAAGAACTTTTTTTTTCGAAAAAAACTCACTTCATTTTCTTTGTTGAAAAATTAAGGTCTATTTTTTTTAGAAAAAAAATTAATAAATATATCAAAATTCATGTTTTCTGTACTTTTTAAACATAGATTCATATTCATGTAAAAAAAACCGATATTTCGGTTCAGATTCACATTGTGAACCTGTTCAGATTCATATTGTGAACCTTCTCAGATTCACAGTGTGCATAATAGTAAGTCAGATTCACAGTATAAATCTGAATTGATCGAGCTTTTTCATATTGTGAATATTAAAAATTGAAATATTTACAGTTTAGATTCACAGTGTGAATCTACACTATTCGAGGTTTTTTTTTAACATTCTCAGATTCACAGTGAGCATAATAGTAAGTCAGATTCACAATGTGAATCTGAACTGATCGAACTTTTTCACATTGTGAATGTTGAAAATTGAAATATTTACAGTTTATATTCACAGTGTGAATCTACACTGTTCGAGGTTTTTTTTTAGTCGGTGTTGATGTTTATTAATAGA